GTGATTATGTTCACATAAAAAACTGTAAATTTTGTAGTAAAACAGTGATTAATAAATCTGAAGGTTAAAACACTCTACTGTTTTACTCTACTGTTACTGTTTACCAACACATGCACACAAAATTTCAGCAAATTATTTTAAAAACTTTTTGAGCCATCGCAGTCTCCGTTTCAATTTTTCGAAAATAACACTTTTCGAGTAAAACGCATTTTACAGTTTGACATCATATGTAAAGTTACGGCATTTGTTTTTATTAAAACACTTGTAGTTTTTGTTCTAGTGAATGGAAAATTTAAAACTTGGAATTTTTATAAAGCTAATAAAATGGCCTATAAAATAAAATCATTAAAAAAGTTTGTCAATTTTTTAAAAAATCATGATTTTAGGGTAATTGGATAAAATTAACTTAGAATAATCTTTTTTCCAAATATTCTCCTTTTGTGAAAAATGCTTCTATTAGAATAATATTTTGCCTGTATATAACTCCGACCTCTGTTCAGAGGCTCAACTAGAATTTTTGAAATATATAACTTAGAAGTGGGTTTATTCATATTTTATGACAACAGAGGGGAGCAATTTTAAGAAAAAACGCGAATAATTATTTCAATTGGTGGTAACTCTGAAAATAATGTGAATCTTTCAAAAATTATAATTGAGCCTCTGTAGAGAGGTCTGCGCTATATACGGGCAAAATATTATTATAATAGAATCATTTTTCACAAAAGGAGAACATTTGGAAAAAAGATTGTTCTAAGTTAATTTTTTGTCAAAATATTATATTTAAATAAATTTCTTTTGTTAAAATGTCCTTAAAACAATTTTATGCATGTATTCTAATCTGAGTGACACTAAATATCATGAAAATTATCTATTTATGCGCTTTTTAAAATCACGGTTCCGAATGTAGTCGGATACCTTAAGAGGTTAATTTTATGCGTGTGAATAATTTATTTTAAAATTATCCAGTATAGTTACTGTTTTAGCGCTACAGAAAAATATGTTTATTTCTACTGTATTATTTGTTATATATGTGTGTAAATAGATCTCGACATTGCTGTGACTGTCTAATACAGGGTTTCCCTACTGTTTGCGACCGAGGTGGCCCAGCATTCATGGTCACCAACACATGGCGTGTGAGTCATAAGTTCGAATCCATTGCCACTGAAGTCACGCCGTGATGAGGGGCTGATGCCCGTGAAATTTGTCTCGTAGCTCAAAGTTCTCCAGTTAACGGGGTGTGGAAGTTTAGAAAAAGGAGTACAAAAGCTCATGTATCGTCTTCGTCACTTGACCGAGGCTCGGCATTACGAGGTCTGCCCCCAATAGACCGAGTTATGCTTCATAATATCCGAACACGTGAAAAATGACCAAATTCGGTCAAGACAAATATCTTTGTTTTCCATTTTATTGAATAGAGCTATCTTTTTGCTTTACAAAACATACTTTTTTTTGTTTCTACGCTACCTGGACGCCAAACTACAATCAATTTTATGAAGTTAAAAAAACCGGAAGTGGGTCTTTGATTTACCAGAAGTGGGCATTTAAATTGCTCAAAATCTATCATTACGAGTCTGATAACTCAAAATATGTTACGAATATATTTCTATAAAACTTTTTGAACCTGATATTTATGCTATTTTCTAGAGAATGTACTAAAATATTTCTTATTGTATGAATACTTTTTGAGTTATGGCTTGTTATTTAAGTAATGATCTCATAAAGAATGTGACTTCTTATGTTTACTCAATCAGTTCTAAAGTTTTCAAATTTTAATAAAATATTAAAATTTTAGTACATTCTCTAAATAAATACATCTAATTTGTTTTGGTAATACTTTTACTAAAAAGGTTTATTACTTTTTTCTCTAATTGCTTTGAAGTTTTACAAAAATATTGCTAAAATTTCACTTATAATTGTGATTTTTGTGAAATTTAGGCAATTTATTTTAAATACTGTGAGTTAAACAGTAGTATTTATTGGTATTAAGTCCTAAAAAAGCAGTTATAATGTTTATATATGTTATTTTGTCAAAAAAGTAATCTGAACGTGTTCAGATACCTCAAAATTGAAAAATAATAAATAACTAATTCATCAGCTAGTATTTTTTCTCCCTATCTGGAATGTACTGCAGTAAGATTCGAGGAAACCCCTGGTATTTTTTCTTTTCTTTTCTTTTTCAATTCAAAATACAAATAATTTAAAAACTTGATTTTTATTTTCCCATTAAGAGGACTCGGTATCCTAAAAATGACCGAACTATCATTTTATTTATTTATTTTTATTTAATTATTTTCATTATTATCGCTTTTACATGTCGGAAAGTTCGAAGTTGGACAAAACTTCTCTTGAAAGATGTAAATTAAAAGATTAGGCAACTCAACCCCGACCCCTTTTTAGAAAAAAAGCTCATTTTGATTTTTAAAAAAATCTATTTTAAAAAGAGAAATAATAACTACAAAAAAAGAAAGTGTAATATATAAATCAGGATATTACCGGGCATTATAATAATATAATTTTTCTTCTTTTTGAAATGTGTGCATTTAAAATTTTTGAATTAAGGCATTTTATATTAATAATTTCATATAACTTGAGTTCTTATTCCTCATATGTTTTTCACACAAATATAATACTTGAATATTATGTGAAGAAAAAAGATAAAATTTTAGTTATGACAAAAAAAAAAAGTTTTTAACATTTTTCTTGAATTCTCTTGTGCAATTAATACTCTCTAAAAATAGATCATTTATAAAAATGTATAGGTTGAAAAAATATGAAAATGCAATTATTTTAAAGAAAATTTATTACCTATGTCCTAAAGGGGTATTTTAAGTTTATTTAAGCTTATTATAATTATTTTTTCAGAATTATCAACTTTAAAGGTGTTTTTATCAGTTTGTGTTTTTTCATTAGTGCATTCAAAATGTTACGTCTTCCACAATTATTTGTCAATCACTTCCATTTTTTCCCCTGTGTGTTATATATAAAGCATGTAACAAAATTAGGGATCCATTTTGCTGTAAACTGAATACTTTTTTTAAAAAAAAATATTAAAATATAGGGGATATTGGCTTTTTCGTTGAATTTCAGCATGCATATCAACATTTTATTTTTTTCTCCAAAATTAAGTTATTGTAAAATCGATCCCTAAAGTCGCTTAGAACAATCTTAAGAATATTACAAAAATGTTTCAGGTCATGAATTTAATAATTACAAAAAGAGTTCAATGTTAAAATTTTCCAAATTTTCTTCAAAAAATGTACATTTTTTAAATTGTGTTAATAATATGCGAAAAATGTCTTCTCTTATTGTTTATTTGAATAGAAACATTATTTAAAATGCTAAAATATAATTTTTAAATTCATAAGTAACAAGTAATATAAAAAAATTAAGTCAATTCTTACTTGGTCAACAATGAACATTTTTATTTTAGTTACGTTTATTAAATAGTTACAATTATTATAAATATGTACGAGGGATATTCGGAAACTAAGGTCCGTTTACTTATAAAACATAAAACATTACAGATTTTTTCAAAACACTTTATATTTTAAATTCCTTACATGTGTCTCTATTTTTCTACATACTTTCCATATTTGTTTAAACATTTGTCATAACGTTCTACGAGCTTCTGTATGCCTAAGTCGTAGACGTCTGACGCCTGTGAGGATAACCAGTCTTGAACTTCTTCTTTCACCTCGTCAGCTGTGTCGAAGTGTTTGCCGCCGAGAAACTCTTTTAGGTAGCGGAATAAGTGAAAATCACTCGGAGAAAAGTCTGGACTGTACGGTGGGTGGTCAATCTGTTCCCATCCAAAAGATCTGATCAGATTTTGTGTGTTAATGGCAGAATGGGGTCTGGCATTGTCATGCAGCAACAGAACTCCAGACGTCAGAAGACCACGTCGCTTATTCTGTATCGCACGTCTAAGTTTAGTTAGGGTAGCGCAGTAAGCGGTTGCATTTATTGTTGTCCCTTGCTGCATAAACTCGACTAACAAGACCCCATGTCTATCCCAAAAGACGGTTGCCATAACCTTGCGTGTTGAAATTGTCCACTTGGACTTGACTCTGACTGGTGAATTTGTGTGACGCCATGCCATTGACTGACGTTTAGACTCTGGGTTATGTGCGAAACCCACGTCTCGTCCTCTGTGACAATCCTCTCTAAAAATTGATCACCTTCTTTATGATATCGATCCAAAAAATCAAGAGCACAATCATTCTTTTCAGTTTGTGTTCCTCAGTAAGCAGCCTAGGAACCCAATGTGCACACAATTTGCGAAATTTCAACTTTTCGGAAACGATTTTGTGCAAAGTTGTTCTACCCACATTCGGAAATTCCAATGCTAAAGTTGAAATTGTGAATCGCCGGTCTTCACGAATCTTTTCATCCACGGCATTGACCAAATCATCTGTGATCACTGATGGTCGACCGGAACGTGGTTCATCATGAACATTTTTCCGTCCGTCCTTGAAAGCTCTCACCCACTTACGCACTTTGCTGCTACTCATCGCATTTGGGCCATACACGTCGCTTATCTGTCTATGAATTTTCGCTACTGAAACGTTCTTTGCTGTCAAAAACCGAATCACTGACCGTATTTCACAGTCAGCGGGCTGATCGATTGTTTTAAACATTTTGAAGTAGCACTGTACTTACCACACTGCAACAATACCAATGCAAATGGCATCGTTTGACGAGCAAGGTATGCCGGAAGTTGGTACGCATGCACATTTCAATGTTTGCGCGACATTCGATTAGCTACGACGATTCGGACCTTAGTTTCCGAATATCCCTCGTATATACATATGAGACAGAATCACGCTATTAAGTGGCAAAATAGAAAGCGATTTTCCTTACAATTTTCCATTTTCCTTTCTATATATGGTAGTGTATTATTATTTTTTGTTTCTCTGACTGTTTATTCAGTAATTAAATTTAGTTATTCTAATAAGTAGTATAGTAAAAAAAAGAAATAACATTCTCAGAAATTAGGAAAACGTATGTGGGATTCGAAGCCAAGACTTTTGGATTAAAAGTCAAACGCGCTATCCATTGCACTACAGGGACACAAAGAATCATTTTCCTTTCTATATATGCTGCTGGGGTGTTATTTTTGTTTGTTACTATTTATTCATTTTTTAATTTAATTAATGAATTAATATGGGCAAAAGACTATTAACTCTAATTGTCATCCACTACAAGTTTAAAAGAATGTATTTAAACTTGAATGGATAAATCGAATGTATTTTATTAACGATTGAAAATTTGAACAAGATATATATATATATAGGGAAAGAGTGAACTAATAGTATTAATTGAAAAAAAAATTGTTCAAGGTACCGAGTCCTCTTAATATTCTCTATATATTCAAATGATTTTAAATAATATATTCTAAATCATATATAAATATAAATACAATTATATGTATACATTTTGAATAACCGGGGCTTTTTTCAGATTTTCGTTAACTTATGACATCCCTAAGATGGATGTCGGTGCCAACTGACGAATCATGCATGTTGAAAAAACGACTCGTATAAATAATTAAATGATAAAGCGCTTTGAGAGAAAAAAAAGGGGAGAGGACCATCTGCATCCTCCCCCTCCCTTGACTTATCTCGACGGGGAATCACTCAACACAGTTGGAAGGAGAAAAAAAAGTTGACCCAGTATGACACGAGAGATTGTCCGTATCCTGAGAGGGAATTTAAGTCGAATAATGAGAGTTTTGGGGAAACTTGATGCCTCATTCGTGGCATTTATAAATAAGGGGGATGCTGGGGGCAGTGGAGAAAGAGGGAGAAGACGGAATACCCGGGTCAGAATTTCTTTTTTTGGAAAAAAAAAACATGAGTTGGCTTTCCTGCGGTGAAACATAAGGGTTTTTTTTTCCTTGTATGTTTGAGTAAATAAAAAATTGTCGTTTCTTTCAACGGTCATTTATCAGTTGTGAAATATGTTTTTTAAAGTGAGAGGAAGTTGTTTCGTGAAATATATTTTTTTTTAATTAACATTTCTTTTGGATTGATATTTACCTTCAAGGATTAAACAGTTTCCTGTTTTTTTTTCTGGACGGTTTTCGAAATTACTTTATATTGGATTAAGATAAAATTAAATGCAGGGACGCAACAGCCCTTGAGGGTCAAGGCCTACTGTGCCTATCTCAGTGTGCGTGACCATTGGTTGCTGAGGTACATGGGCAGATGTCCCAATCAGGTGGTCAGTCTGAAGCGAAACTCCCAGTGCTTAGTCCCCAAGCAAGCTTGGTGCTCATTTATCAACCCACTGAAGGGTTGAAAGACTGAGTCAACCTTGGCCAGCTCGAGAATAGAATCCCACACCTGTGGTGTGAAAGCGCGATACGCTACCGCTCGACCTCTTATTAGAAATGGAATAGAATAATATGTATGTATATAAAGGAGATAGGCGACTCACTCATCATGATATTTCCGGAGTTATAAGATCTACAGACTTAAAATTTGCAGGCATGTTTCTTTTGTTCAGTAAGATTCACTAGGATTGGGAAGATTCCCGTTTTGGAACTATCAGACCTAGAAACTTAAAATTTGGGAACATGTTTCTTTGGTTTAGTAGTAATCCATAAAGAATAAAACTTATAAACTTGAACGAATATTGACTTCCGAGGGGGAGGATTGACGAGGATTTGTAGATTCAAAAAAAATACTGTTTTTGAACTGTTGGACAAACAAACTTAAAATTAGACAAATATGCCTCTTTTGTTGAGTAGACTTCCGATAAGAAAAAGTTTTGTGAAAGTCTACTCTTAAGAGTGGTTGATGGTTACTTACAGATGAAAAAAATCCAGTTTTTCGAATTATTAAGCATACAGACTTGAAATTCGGGGAAAACATGTTTCTTTTCTTGAGTAGAGGTCTACTAAAAACAGGTTTCCATGAAACTCATCGGTTTTCATAATTTAACTCATTGGGGATACAGTCACGTTATAGATTATTTTTTTTTTAAAAAAAGTTTTTGTGTCACTAGACCTTTACCGACTTGCGACCGTTAGGATTTGAGCCCACTAGAAACCTACCCCCCTCGCAATGTGGGAGTTGAGGGGGTATATGTTACGCTACAAGCTAAAATTAATGTTTGCGGAAATCGACTCTGGGAGAGGATTATGAGGGTGTAAAAGATGAATATACTTTTGCTTTAGAAATTTAAATGTTGTCTTTTTTAATTCGCGAGGTGAAATCTATAGGAATATTTTTCCAAAGTATAATGGTAAAACTTGAGTAAAAAAATAGCTCTAAAAAACAATGTATAATACAATTATGAAAACCCCTGCGATGCGTGTGGATAATGGCTATTTCGTATATAAAATTCTTAGATAAATAATTCTTAGCAATGAAACTGTTCACTTTATCTCAACTATAATTTTCCTCGAATTTATGAATCTCTTAGCATTTCTATGAAATTCTTTAAAATAATCATTTACGAGAAGTGAGTGAAATAATTTAAGGAAATATTTGAGCATAAATTCATTTACACAACTTGCTCTCATATTTTTTCGGGAAAAAAACAAAGTAATACCCAAATACCCCTCTGTTTCGCTTGCTAATAGAAGACTTAAGGCCTGGAAAAATTTAAGTCCCACTGGGGGACGAGATTTAAATGAAATTACGTCTCGAAAATGCCGCTCGATTGAAGCTTCAGCCCGCGAATTCGTTGCCATGGCAACTTCGCTACCACAGAGGTTAAGCTGAGACACTGTTAAATAGTTTCGTTAAAAATGAAGTAGTAGTTTCTATTAAGGTATCCGATTTTTCTAAAATCATGATTTTTTTTTTTTTTTAGAAATTGACAAATTTTTCTTATGATTTTATTTTATAGGCCATCTTATTAGCTTTATAAAAATATATGTATGAGAAGTTTTTTTTTTATTTTCCAGTCACTAGAACCATTAACTAGTGTTTTAGTTAACCAGTTTTTGTGTATGTTTTGTATAACAGTTGAAGTGTTTTAACTTTCAGATTTATCAATCATTGCTTTATTACAAAATTTACAGTCCCTTATGTGGATATAATTACTGTTTTTTTAAGCAATTTCATACAATCACTAAGATAAGTGCTCTAGTTTTTGTAAAAATTAAAATATCTCTTATCCTGAAAGTCAATTCAAAAAGGAATAGCAGGGCTGCGGTAGCCCAGTGATCAAGGTATCAGATCATGGCAGGTATGTCATGAGTTCGATCCCAGTACCACGAAAGACCCGCCGTGTCGGGCAGAGAGGCACGTTAAATCTGTCGAGAGCTGAAACGTCCTCCCGTTGGTGTGGTGTGGTAGTTAGTAGAGAGGGGTGCCAGCTCAGGTGTCGTCCACGTCACTTGACCATGGTTCAAAATTACGTGGTTGGTCGCCAAAAGCCCTCGTGTAGCTAAACACAGTGTGACGTTAATATTCACTCACTCAAAAAAGAATAGCAAAGAAGTACATCAAAAATTGAGAATTTGTTTATTTACTATAGGTACAGAGAGGGACCCGTTTATGTAATTTTGTACCCATTTTTTCCATTTTAGTAGTAATAATTTATTTTTCTCTTCTTAATTTTACCCTTTTTTTTCTTAAAATTTACAAAATATACCTAAAAACCACAACAAAATCTCCATATCTCCATTTTTTTTTAAAAAGTTTTCACAAGTAGTCAGGTATTTTAAGCTGAGACACTGTTAAATAGTTTCTATACAAATAAAGAATTTTTCTTTTAAACTTGGTGATGAAATCCTAGGTACGAGGGACGATTGATAAGTAAGGTCTGCAATAGTACAAAATAAGTTTACGACAAGGTCAAATTAATATAACACAGGTATCAGAAGGAAGGAAATTTATTACTCTTACATATTGTAAACTCATTCCTCAACGTAGTCACCACGAGCAACTACACATTTGTTCAATCGTTTTATCCATTTCTTCATTCCGTCCATGTAGAAAGATTCTGGCTGGCTGCGTATCCATTTGCGCACGGCTACCTGAACTTCGGCATCCATTGAAAAACATTGACCTTACAACGTCTCCTTCAACTTTGGGAACAACCAAAAGTCCGACGATGACAAAACTGGACTGTAGGAAGATTATGGAACCACTGTGAATTTCAGTTTTCCCATGACATCCTGTGTTTGTGCACTGCGATGCGGTCTTGAATTGTCGTGATGAAAAAGAAAGAACTTTTTGTCCGGTCTGATTCTGCAGATGCGTTGCTGAGTTGCTGCATTCCAGGGTCGAAAGTCCACCATTCTTGTATCATACTCCTTGTAATTTTGTCGATTTTGGGGAACAAAAAACTGTAAAAAATTAATTATTGAATAAATAATTATCTTTAATTGATAAAACTAATCATTAATAACAAATACTTAATTAAATTTTACGTACTATATACTTAGTATTATAATCAATCGGGAAAAAAAATCGAGGGCTTTTGGGAAGGGGGTCTGGACCCCTAGGACTTCCTACTTGTGTGCGTCGTTGGTTCCTTTCATATACATCCGTGAATAATAAAATACGTTACAAACAATGATAACTATTTCAACTATATAAAAGTCTATTTTCACAAATATAGCAAATTTTTTCTGAAATATAAATCATATTAAATTATTCAAATCCCCTCCCCCCGTCCTCATTTATCTTTGATATTTAAACTAATTTGCGTAGAAAACCACTTTCATAAACATCTTTTAACATTTTCTTCGAATGCACGCTTCTCATAAAGAGGAAAAAACACATATTTTTTCCCTACTAAAAAATCTGGTTAAAGCAACCATAAATCAAGCAGAAAACAGAACAGAATAACTCCGAGGGTCTCATCGCCGGTCCCATTAAACCCTCGTACGCCTTGGAACAGAACACCCCCATGCCTTCTCCAATGCAATCACTATACAAAAGTTCTTACATTTGAAGAGTTAGGGGTGCCCGCATAGACCTTTTGTTCTACCGGCCTCAATGATGCTTTTCTTTCCATTAAGCCGGCTCTTCTTTTGAAGAGCGCTGCTTTCATTCGTCTGAGTGGGTGAGTGAGGTTGCGCTTGAATAGTTTCTGAAAAGTAT